GGGAAAGAGGGAAGATGAGAAGGAGGACCTGAACTAGCATGATTCTCAAAAATTTCAAATACATTTACAGTATATTTTAACATTCCTCACTGAAAGACCTGTCATTTGAGCAAAATTCAGACTTGGGAGTACTTGGTATGAATGAAATAACTTGCTAGCAATGTCTGGACTGAGATACAACACAGGGCAGATGCTGCTTCTCTGGATTTTTCAGTTGCTGAAGCTCAGTTACTTATTCTGCGTCCAGAAAGGGACAAAAATAACCGCTTCTGACTTCAAACCTTCTGAATACTATTCCTATAACCATTTGCTCTTTTAAATTAAATCTGTCTCCTTTTGTCTTCATAAGCACTATTTGCACAGGAAAGCTCTTCTAAGCATTAGGCCTTAAAATAAAGTTCTTCCTGGTTAACAATGAGATGATGAAAGGAAAGCAGAAATATCTAGTATACAGGTATATTTGTGTTTGTTTTGATGGGTTACTACATAAACGTATTCAGATTTTTTTTTTTCCCCCATGATGCAATACAATGTGGGGGGAAACACAGCAACAAAGAAGAAAATGCCGAGGTACTTAATGCCTTTTTTGCCTCAGTCTAACAGTAAGACCAATTGTTCTCTGGATACTCAGCCCCCTGAGCTGGAAAACAGGGATGGGGAGCAGAATGAAGCCCCCATAATCCAAGGGGAAATGGTTTGCAACCTGCTACACCACTTGGACATACACATGTCTATGAGGCCAGATGGGATCCACCCAAAAGTGCCGACGGAGCTGGCAGAAGTGCTCACCAAGGCACTTTCCATCATTTATCAGCAGTGCTGGCTAATTAGGGAAGTCTCAGTTGACTGGAGGTTGGCAAATGTGATGCCCATCTACAAGAAGGGCCGGAAGGAGGATCCAGGGAACTGCAGGTCTGTCAGCCTGACCTTGGTACTGGGGAAGGTTATGGAGCAGATCATCCTGAGTGCCATCACGCCTCATGTACAGGACAGCCAGGCGATCAGGCCCAGTCAGCATGGGTTTATGAAAGGCAGGTCCTGCTTGACCATCCTGATCTCCTTCTAAGACCAGGTGACACGCTTAGTGGGTGAGGGAAATGCTGTGGATGTGGTTTACCTGGACTGCAGTAAAGTCTTTGACACCGTTTCCCACAGCATTCTCCTGTAGAAACTGGCTGCTCACGGCTTGGATGGTGTGATGGTGCCTTTCCCCTCCTCTTTTTCCTGGGCCTCACTATGATTTCAGAAATCCATGCTTTAGCCTTTGTGTAAGAAGTTAGATGGTTAAGTGCCCCTTGATCATACCAAAAACACTTTCACAGCTAAGGATGGAAAAAATACTGATTGTACCAGCAACATCTGTAACGTGGCCAAGGATGGGAACTCGATAAAACAGGCCTCGGTACATCCCTTATCTGAATCGTAGCTCGAGTAGAACACAGACAGTATCTGTGTTACTGGAATTTTGAGAATTCCAGCAATTACGAACTTGAACTGTAGCCAGAATGGAAATTTACTAATGGCTAAAGTCAATCATCTTGCAAACCTATAAACGGCAGTCCTAAAGCGAGACTCTTTGAGCTCTCCTGGACCGCAGCAGGCTGCAACCAGCTTCTCCCTCTGAGTGGGATGCCTCTTGGAGCTCACAAACTCTTGAGTTTGCGAAGTTTGGATGATCATCGCTGAAAGCAGACAACAAAGCCTGGGCCGAAAATCCTTCACTCCTCAAGACTCAACCCTCACCCACTGAGAGATGCCAAGGCACTAGAAGTGAGTATTTCACAGAACTCGAGAGAAATTTTTCTATTAGGTTTACCTACCTTTACACACGTATACACCTCTCTAGATCTGTTTCTTTATACATGTATATACACACATTTAATGCTTTATATATATGTATAAAAAAGTATTTGTATAAAGATATCTCTACATATATCTCTCTTTTAGTGTTTGTGTGCATGCATGTGTGAATCGATTCAAATATCCTATAACAACTTAAGTCACTGTTACAATCATAGTACCTTACATGCTAAATTACTTAGCAATTAAGTGCTGCTAAATCCTACTGCTAACTATTGACTTAACGGGA